AGGACGATCAGCCCAGCCCAAAGAAGACGCAGACGCTACAATATATCATTCCCATCAGGGTCAAATAAGATAGCCCAACTTCAGTGAGTTAGGATCACTTGCAATATACAACTGAAAATATCCTGGTTGTCCACTGTGATCTTACATTGCCTCCAGTCTACTTCAAAAGTGAAGGATGGTCAAGCTCATCACACTTGATGATGCACTTAACAGACCACACATGAACCACGCTTGTGCCAGAGCTGGTATATTTGTTGAGCTAATATTAAGAGACCATGTGTGCTGTGCCAGATATGCAAAGCTTGTCTCTCATCTTTCAGCCTATGAGACACGCTCATTTGTGAGTTGTGTGAGGCCTTTTTAACTCTGAAAATATTCAAAAGAACACTTGTAAGTTTTAAAAAGGATTCATCGTTTCAATCATTTCAAAACAAAAATAGAGATATAACTTTTCAGAACATTAGACATGGAACAACTTTTATATGGGTGTGTCTACGAGCATCAGTGAGGATTGTGGTGGGTGTGAACAGGGAGAAGGGTGTATGATGCAGTGGTTAGTACATCTGATAGACAGGATTATCCGTTGTGGGCTCTATTTTAAGCACCAGTGACAGGGAGACTGACATAGGAAAGCAGAAATATGAGCTGCAGTGTGCAGCACTGAGGCGAACAAATGAGGATTATGCCCGTGGTGTCAATAGAGCTATGGATTCAACAATGAGTATTCCATCTCATGGAATCTAATCTTGCATAGCCAGACTTTTCACTATTGGAAAAGTTTTTCTACACCTTGCATCTGCATAAAAGGACGCAAATGCGCATGTAAACTTCAGCATGCTAGTTTTTTACAGTCTCCTGTATGGTTTGAAAAGGAAACTCTGGATGTGCTCTTCCCTTAACAGTGCGCTGATACACGGGCAACTAAAGCACGGATAATTTACAACATTCTATCACTATCCTATTCTCATTATCGGTGTGTGAATGGGTGAATGTGAGGCAATATGTAAAGCGCTTTGGTGGCCATTGGGTCTGTGAAAGCGCTATATAAGTGCAGTCCATTTCCCATTATAATGCTGAATTTAGCATGTATATTAGTGGTAATAAAATAATTACAATTATTGCTGCACGTTTTTGAACGCGCACAACGAGAAACAAGTTTAAATAAAACGTAGGTTTACTGTTAAAAAAATGAGAACAAAATAACACTACTGTATTATTAATAGCATCAATGATTTTTGCCTATCTCGAAGGAATATGACCGTCTCAAAGAACCCAATGATAGTCAATAATGTCGGACATTGCGTTTAAACTGAAACTGAAGAGTGAATGAACGGTCGGTTAACTGCAGTGTTTTGCTAGCTGGTTGTTGAACTCAACCAAACGCGTCGTCTTATTTGAGATTAATCAGATAGACAACATAAAAGTAATCTTACAGCTTACATCTGCATAAAAAGACGTGAATGCGCACATGAACTTGACGTGCTAGTATGATCTTGTTGTGGATGCGCTCTTCCTTTAACAGGGCGCTGAAAGACTAACACAAGTATACCACAAGTTATAAATGGAGAATAGAGGATATGTTTGTAAACATAAATCCATCTCTGCACTTATGATTGTAAGAACGACAAACAATATGCGTTACAACTACTGCACAAAACTCTGATTTTGAACAGCAAATACTTTAACAAATAATAAAACATACTTAGAGGTTCTGATCTAGAAGCGTCAGATTCAGATTGCCCTAGCAAAATTGGAATTGGAATTATCCCTTTTTTTAGGAATAGTCTTTGTGCACAGTTTTGTTCTCTCCCAGGTTCACAGATCAACTATGATCCCTATACTTGACATCACACATGCTGCAATCATGCTGTGCACACTACGAAATCAATGCTAAAACGATTTATCGCGCAGCCCTAAACTGTACTCTTTTTCCAGATTGTTGTTGTCTTTCTTTACCTGAATGTCATTAGAGAAAAATGCTTAGTGAAACTTAACCTTTATCTCAAATAATTTCTCGTATTTGATAAATATATTGCCATTCAATTCACTGTTTCACTACTGTTTGACCTTCATGGCTGAATACACAAAACTCCCAACATTGACTGATTGAATGTGCCTTAGGGCCCTTTCACACCTACCTTGTTTGGTCCGGACTTTCGGACTTTTCTGTTTGGTCCGAATCAAAATTACAGGTGTGAAACCTCCCTCGGACCACGGTCCGGACCAAACAGATGAAATTTGGTCCGACGAAAAGAGGTAGTCTCGGTCCGGATTAAACTGAACGAAGGTTTGGTTCGTTTCTAGAGTGAAAGCCGTTTCTGTATGGTTCGGACTTTCGGACCTTTTACAGAAAGTTCTGGTGGTTCCCGCATATCCGAAAAACAGAAGGTGGCAGGAAAAATGAGCCGTGTAGCACATGGGGAGAGGAGGAGACAAGGTTTTTAATTGAAGTATGGTCTGATGACATAATAAGAAGTCAACTTGCAGTCTTCTCCTCCTTTCCTGCCGGCGACGATAAAATGTTCGCACAACGAGGACGTTCATTTGGCGCATTTGAACTAGCCTTGTGTATAGTTGGTGCTGCAGGTAATTATGCCATAAAAATAACAATATAGTTGCAACGATATGCGTCTGTTCATTCATGTTGTCAAAGTTACCCGCCGAATTGACAACACGCTGACGTCAGACGCACGTCCATTTACAAAACCAATCAATGTCAATATGCAGCCAACATAGATGATGACGACAGGACGCAAGTATGCCACGTAAAGTTCTTTAGTGCGCTCGCAGAATTGCAGTGTGAAACCAAACCAAAACTTTCTGAAAATATAAAATGTATCAAAACGTGATCTTTGGTTCGGACCTTGGTGTGGACTTTCAGGTGTGAAAACGCCCTTAATCTCAATAAGACTAAAAACACTTTGGACTTCATTAAGTAGAACAGAGACAACTATTTTTTCTACCTTGTTTTTTAAATTAGGTGCATTTTGGTGTGCACGTTGTTTTCTGATGTACTGTACATATTAGTGGAAAATAATTAATTGTACAATGAGATCCAGCAGGAGTAAGAATTCCTCATAGAGCAAGAAAACAATTAGCTGCTAATTAAGAGCGAAACACCCACATGCAAAAGGAAAAAGTAAACATGGAGGAAACATCTTGATCCGTTCAACATTTTTTAGCAGACTAGTAGTTTAGGGTTAGAGTTAGTAGAATAAGTTGACATTTACAAAGTGAATGTTGGGGGACCATTAAAATAAAGCAGAGCTTTCTGTCCATCCATTGACTTTTGCAACTACCACTTTCAAGCCAAAAAAGGTAGTAAAGACATCATTAAAGTAATCCTTGTGACTCCAGTGTAGGGGTGGGAGATATGGCAAAAATATCATATTACGATTTTTTTCAGAAAAATCACGATTCATGATTTTATTACGATTTTTTTCATGTTGGTTTTACTATTTTGCAAGTGACTTAGTAGAATGTCTAAAGTAGACTATCAAAATAAAGTGTAACCTGGTCTATTTCAATGTCTGAACAGCTAATTTCGCCGAAACGCAATAAGTTTGCCATATTTGAGACAAATATGATCAAATCAATGCTCCACTAAAGTTTAGAAAAGACAACTGGCCTGTGGGATTTGTAAGATAATAATTAGAGTCCTGAACTCTCTGGAATCACAAAGCTCTCAAAGAGCCATTTAACAAAAGACATTTCTCAAATTTCTCAAAGAAATGGAAAGTATCGTAGTAACCACAAACTCACATATTCACGCTAAAGACATAAATTGGAGTAAAAGGTGTGCTTTAAAAGACTGAACCATTTTATCCTCAATGGACATATTGCATATTATCAAAACTGAGACCAAGACAAAATAATACTTCATCCTGAATCTTGAAAACTCACAAATACTGATATGTAAGAGAAATACTACAGTAAAGAGAAGATAGCAGTGGGAATGCTCAACAACTGCTCAGGCTTTAAATAACCAAAATCGTCCACTGCTAGTGCTTTAGCAATGTAATGAGGTCTGGTTACATAAAAAGGGGGGCTGTGGGTAAGATCCACAAAACAGACTGTTGTGTTGTCAGAGGGAGGACACTCAATGGCTAACTTTTAAATGGCTACTGAGATATGTTACCAACAACACCAGAAGTTTCTGTGAGAAAGCAAATCCACTGGAGGGGAATTTATATCACACCTGTGTTTACTTCTCACTTTTTAATAATAGCAATAAAATATACAGCACAATTTCTGTTTAAATTACATCATTTTGATGTAGAAATACTATGCAAACATGTTGTTCAGTAAAATGGAATAATGAGCTTTTGAGTCAACAGCAGAGATGACAAAGGGTGAGAGAGGTGGAACACAAAAGCAGGTGACCGGGCAGTTATTTGTTTTCATTTCCTGGTTAACGTTACTCTCTTCTCATGTAGCTGTTAGAATAAAGCTTTTATACCAGCAAGCCAAATAATGCCTTATCAACCTTTTTTGTTCAGGAGTGTTATAGACCAGTAGATCAGATCTGTAATGCAAGTAAAACCAAAAACTTCAGAATTTCCCAAATCAGTATTTGGGATACTAATTTATGCAAGTCCTATACTCTGATTTTATCATCCCTGTGCAGGATGTCCTGCCTTAAACTTCCACTTTATTAAACTCCCAACTCATTTATGGATACTTTCACTCTAAATAGAAACAGTTTACTGAGAGATTTGATGTGTGGCTTACATAAGGTGGTCAAGATAGTTTAAAAGAGAAATTGTTCAAGTAGGCACTATATGAGCCATCATCTGTCCAGATAGATAGATAGATAGATAGATAGATAGATAGATAGATAGATAGATAGATAGATAGATAGATAGATAGATAGATAGATAGATAGATAGATAGATAGATAGATAGATAGAGTCACTTATTGTTACATACATCATTTTGAAGAGGTAGCTATATCATTGAAATCGGTGAAAACATTTTGTAACTTAATATAATACACTCACTCTACAGGTCTGATGGTAGCGTCTCCCAAATTCATCTCTCATAAACTAAATCCGTTTTGTATCAACGCAATTCACTCGTATATCCAGGCGTGGACATTGGTAGCCTATATACCTAAAAAAAACATTCGAGTGTCACCTTTAAAGAAAGAACATGAAAATACACTTTAGCAGAACAAGGATAAAACTATTTTACAAAAAACACAGCTGAGCAGCACTAAGGTGCCACGGTCACAGAATAACTTAACGTTACATTTACAGCAGTCTGGACAAGTGTTTGGTGTACGTTAACGTTACACACTTATAACGAAAACAAATGAAGGTGTTCAAATGTTTCACTTGCCACAACAGAGACTACGAACCAAACACTAACACTAAAAAGTTTAACACAGCTATTGCCATGAAATGTTGCGCGCCAAAGCAAAACGAATATCGCCAACGAAATATATCTATAATATAAAACACTGAAATACTTACGTGGATTCGGCTTCTTCTAGGTGGACAAAAACGGCACAGGAGTTCTGAACTCTATTCTAATCCGTCCAGCGTCCACCAGGCAGCGCCGTTCCCGCGGCTTCTCGAGCCCGCGCTCAACTGTAGCCTGGAATTCTGAGCGCGAGAGCGCGAGAGCGCGCACGAGAGAATTGTATTGATACAGTGAGAGAACAGCGCGCACGAGAAAACAATATTGATACAATGAGACTGTCAATAAATGACTCTCTCTCTCACCACCTAAAAAACGATTCTCTAAAGGACAGTTCGCATTAGAGTGACTGCCAATATGTTGTTTTTTGTCATTACCGATTTTAATTGTCTTTATATAAAACATAAAATCAATTTATTTAATTGTTAGTAGTATTCTTGTAATATCAATGTGTAATTGCTAATGAAAATACGGGATTTGACTATGGTAACCGTTAAGCTGCTGAAACAAAAGCTGCACTTAATATTCAAATAGTGTTTACTCCAAGCGTCCCTAGCGTTTGTTATTCTTTTGCGGTCTCCCTGATTGGCTACTCGACGTTACGCCACGCCCTCTGTCTATTTAAACAGGATTCTCGGATTCGTACAGTAGGTCAAACCATGCCAAAGTCAAACTCGTGAAAAAATACTCTCATCTCATACCGACGTTAATCTATGTGTAGGAAGCATTACAGTTTTTTCTATAACGGAGTTTGAAAAAAATATTATATTACAAATGAAAGGACAGCATCATTGTCTGCTGATTTAATCACCACTGCAATTAATCACCACTGACCATTTTACAACTTTCTTCCTAGAATGACAGATCCTGTTGCGCCGTAACCCTAAGAGGGCGTTGTGACACTAAAATATGTGTAGTTGTAAAAGTTAAAAGAAGATACTTAAAATACTGGAAATCAATGTGCAATTTTACATAGAGTTGAGTAAAAGCTAATTCAAGCTTTAATAGTAGGCTACAATATTTTTTAAACACATATGTAATAAAGTGTGTAAATATGCGTGTGCTAATTATATAGGCTATAATCATGTGGCCTATTGCACTTACTTCTAAATTTCAAATGAATGAATTTAATGAGACAGACAGCCGTGTGATCTTTTTTAATGCCATTCATATACATAGTTTAGTTTTTGGTGAGATGAAGTCCCGCCTGTAGGGAGGTCCAGGAAATGGCACCTCCTGTGCTTTGTAAAGCTTTTTGACAGACAGGATCACACAAATTTCACATATTCAGCTGTCATTACCAAGAAACATGACAGAGAACAGCGGGACTGGGGCTGGTAGGTCATACAGTCTTTTTAGTTGTGTAATTAATGCTGCATAAGTTTTATAATAAGTTCATAATAAGTTTTTTTTTATGATTAGGGCAGATTTATTATTAATATTATTATTATTGTGATTTTTGTTACAGCATTCATTGAAATTGTATTCATTATTTGTAAAAAGTTAACCATTAAAAAAATTATAACAGCATGATCATGACATGTATTTAAACATTAAAAAGTATAACATTTCAACATCTAGAGTAGACACTTTACAACGTCTACTCGTCTACAAAGCCGTCAGTTTACAACGCATGATGCTGAACACGATCATGCTATGACCAGTAGATGGCATGAAAACACAAACTAAAATGCAAGTCTGTTACAAGTTCCTGCTTGTGGTGTCATTTTATTTTGTCTACCTTCAATAAAGAAATGTTGAACCAATGTTAAGATTTCAGAATATATTATAAGCATATTATACTTTATTATAATTAAATTATATGACTTATCATTGTGTTCTTTGTGTGCCCTCCAAGCTGAAGTGACAGAGAGCTATGCTGACTACTATAACCATGAAGAGACTCCTGGAACCCCATGCAACAATGGCAACACAAAGGCCTTCAGTGAGGTTTTTCTTCCCACCCTGTACAGCATAGTTTTCATTGTTGGCTTCATCGGAAATGGCCTGGTAGTGTGGGTGCTGATCAGATACCGTCAGAAATCCAATATGACAGACGTGTGCCTCTTCAACCTAGCCCTGTCTGACCTGCTCTTTCTTGTGTCGCTCCCTTTTTGGGCTCACAGCGCCATAGATGAGTGGATTTTCGGCAAATTCATGTGTCATACCATAACAGGTTTCTTCATGATCGGCCTCTATGGCAGCATCTTCTTCATGGTCCTAATGACATTGGATCGCTATGTCGTCATCGTCCATGCCCACAGTCTCTTTTCCAGAAATCGGTCTGCAAAAATGGGTTTGATCCTGGCCTCATTTGTATGGATGCTCAGTCTGTTTGCATCCCTCCCTAATATTATTTTTGCCAAAGAGAAAAATGATCCAGGCATCAAAGCATCCTGTGGAACCGATTTTCCTGAAGGTACAGCCTGGATGTCATTTACTTACCTTCAGATGAACCTCCTGAGCTTGATTATCCCCGTGATTATTATGAGCTTTTGCTATTCCCGGATCATCCCCACTCTACTCAGCATAAAATCACAAAAAAGACACAAAGTCATCAGACTCATCCTGGCTGTGGTGGCAGTTTATTTCCTCTTCTGGACTCCATACAACATTGTCATGTTTCTCATGTTCCTCCAGAGGAAAGGCAACTTTCTTTCTTGCGACTGGCATACTAATTTGAGCCTTGCCATGCAGTGGGTGGAAACTATCGCCTTAAGCCACTGTTGCCTCAACCCTATTATCTACGCCTTTGCTGGACAGAAGTTCAGAAGAGCAGTCCTTAAAGTCCTAAAAGATCAGTTTCCATTTTGCTTCAGCCATTGCACAAATTTGTCTCGACAGTTATCGGAACGCAGAAGCTCAGTCTTCTCCAGATCTTCTGAGTATTCCTCGACACAAATTGCATAGAGCAAACATGTTCCTCCAGAGAGTTGTTTTCATTCCGAGTAGCTTATATTTTTACCATCCTTAAGTTCCCCTTTTTATTGAATGTATCGAGTTTATCTTAAAAGTTGTCTTTGTTCTGTTTTTTGACACTTTTGTTTGACAATATGTTAAGTATGAGAATGCAGAACTTGACGCTGTTGCTAAGATGTTCTTCCCTGTGCATGTATATTGCTTATATTTTAGATTTGCAAATGATACAGAAAATGGTTTTGATATGAATGATTTCATCAGAAATTTTAAATAAACCCAGTGTTTGTATTTGCATCAGGGGCTAAAAATGCTTTATTTTGCAGTTATGACGTTTTGAAATCTTTCTTGAAATACATTTAGAATAGCATGTATTTTATGTTTTGCTTTTAGTTTTTTAGTTTTTTAGTGCTAAGTGGTTTTTAATAAAGGATTTTTAATCAACGCATTGTCCTGATTGTACTATAATAAAGTATTATGCAGAGGGGAAAAAAACTTTCACAGTTTACCCTAAACAAAATCACTCTATATTTTTTATAGAAGATACCAAACTTATGAGGTTGAATTCCCTAAAATACTTAAGATGGGAATTATGACGTGTCATATTATGGGGGGGAGTGGGGGTTGGGGTTTGGGGTAACAGTCTGTCCGTCACAGAGAGGAAGTCTGACGCATAGCTGTAAACCACATCTGCGTAAGTGTTTATCTTTCTATGAAACACGTGTAGGCACAATGTGCGTCCCAATTCACACTTATGCATTATTCTAAGCTATTAGGGTGGGAAAGAAGTGTGAATGTAATACACTTTATGCACTTGCAGTTGCAGCTTTATTTATGTACAGCAGAAAGAGAGGGGCTATTCAGTGCTGGATGACAAAATACATAAATCTCTTAAACAAGACGGGGGAGAACATATAGTGCATAGTGTATGGGACACAACTACTGTTTTAAGTATGTTAAGTTTGTGGCCATTTGTTTAATAATACTCCCACTTTCTAAGACTTCTCTTTTTAAACTGCTTGCTGTGTTGTCCTCTAAAAAAAAACATAAAAAAAACAACAATTTTCAATATTCATATAGGTTTCATCAAAGGAAAGTGTTTGAGGTTAGTCATTCATTTTAGATACATAAATGGGAGTTTGGTTGTATTGTGATAAACAATGTGGGCAACCACTTGGGGGATATTATTGTGGCAAGGTGCATTACAAGCTCTGTTTGCTGCTTGATTCTGAATAAGATGAAAGGTTTCTTCCACTGCTAGATCAGTGCAGATCAACCACTAGATGAGGTTCCAACATCCTCTATCACAACATGTGCTCTGTTTCAAAGAAAGGCAGAAAATGTTCAAACAAGTGAAGAATAATAAGACTTCTCAAAATGTTATTAAAAGAACAGAAATGAGACAATTAATATGGTACACAAATGATTACCCATAATAATAACAAGAACATGCATTTCTGCACTTATACTTCATCCATCTTATTTTTACCACAAGAGCCGACATGGCCATTTTTAACTTGAATGTGCGAGCTTCTGGGCGGAGCTTATTTTCTCTTCTTTTAAAAAAAATGTGTACATAAACAGTGTGTTATGCTATGTTATACAAACAGTTTTGTAGCACAAACAGTTTACTGTGTACTGCACAGTTTTATTCTTCTAGTTATTAACCTATAAGGACTAATGAATTATCTTTCAGGTTGAAATGTAAAGGGGAGTGAAAAAACATAGGTCTTAAAGGGATAGTTTACCTCTGAAAATAATAGCATTGACTCACTTTCATTTCATTCCAAACCTGCATGACATTCTCTATTCTGTGGAACAAAAGAAGATAAAAGTAGAAAAAAGGTTTTGACTGTTTATGTCCTCTCAGTCGTTAGTACTGTCGCCTGAAGGCAGGCAGGCAGAGGCGGACCGAGTACAGAGCTTTGTTACTTGAGTAAAAGTACAGATACCCCTTGCTAAATTTTACTCAAGTACAAGTAAAAGTACTACATTCAGATGTCTACTTAAGTAAAAGTACTAAAGTACTTGTTTTTAAAAGTACTTGAGTATCAAGAGTACAAGAGTAGATTTTCTAAATATTGCATTACTAATCTACTGCCACAGTGCTTACATTTATGCACAGAAACGTCCTACATGGAGTTATGAAAAATGTTAATGTTAATACCTTGGAGAATGTAAAAGGAATTGAAAGTAAAATCTAGTCATTTTCATCTTTTTATCATGTTGCTTTATTTAATTTA